AATATATATATATATATATTTTTTATGAAACTTGCTATTAAAAAGCTGCCTTCTGTTTTGGTTCAAATAACATCACAGACTGATACATAACACTGTGACTATGAAAAAAAATATACATAATACTTTAAGTAACTTGATTATTTAACAGATGAAGTTTAAGATATTCTGTTATTTTCACTACAATTATATTTACAAAAAAGCTCAAGATACTAATCCAGGTAAACCCTACATTTTCTAGTTGCACTTTTTCAGAATCAGTCTTATTGGACTAGCAAAGCAATGTTAAAATCCAAGTGCTTTTCGTTACAGAAACACTGCTTTTATTAATTGTTAAGCCATTTCTGAGATGACACAATCTAAACAAATTAAGCAACTTGACTTCATGAAGGTTTGCTGTTTGTGATAATGGTCTCACTGAAAACTTAAGATACACTGTATTAATTGTTTTGTTCCCTTTCAAAGTACCTGCCATCCAAGTATTCTGTGTTTGTTGAGAAGGATGACTTGTTTTAAGTTGCGAACAGTTAAACCTAAAAAAAAAAAGGAATTTGGGGCATGCCTATTGATCAATTTACTGACAATCAAAATTTTTATTGCTGTGTAACAACTTTCTATCATGCATACTAATGACTATTTTTTTAGAAATTTTCATAAAGAAAAAATTTTATAAACTAAACAATCATACTTAAAATCTATAGCAGCATAAAAGTTAGTATACTGTCAGTGAGCTGCATTATTGGTAGACAGATTGTGTGCATGTGTCATAAAAAATAACTGGAGAAACCTAAAATAAAGAAAATCTGGTAAAAAAGGCATGTCTTCTCCTGATCAAAAAATATTCTTTAGTGTTTTAAGTACTACACTATGATAATACAACAAACTTGTTAATATTTATAAAACGTTTTTTTGAACACGCAGAGAAAAACAATACACTTATCTGAGAAATGTGTGAGTTTTACCAAATAAAAAATAAAACAAATAAATTAGCTTAAAATACAAATGTATAATTTAGTGATTTCTACACCTTTAATAACAGAATCAAAAAATTAAACAAACTTAGAGCTTTAAATCTGGACAAGATTTAACAAAACTTTATGATGCAAGATATGCATGGTTTAATAATAATAATGCAAAATGTTTCCTCTCAGATTCAAGCACTAAAGAACATTTAAAAATGTTTAAAGTTATGTTCATATATGTATCAATATAAAATGTCAGCTACATCTTCAAGATAGACATTTTCTTACTATAATTACAGAAAATACTAGAAATTATAGGCTTATATATATAAGATGTATATCTTACATTTTCAATGATCTCATCTGAAAGAACTACAAACAAAGTGAATTATCATATCCAATTTTTTATAAACTGAATTATTTGTAATAAAACATTTAGTGCTACAAACTGGAGAGAAACTTTGATATTTAGTTGCTTACAAAGACTTACCAACTGGATAACATTATTACCTAGTGTTACTTTATAACTAATTTTTAATTCATTTAACAAAGACGTCATTAAAAATTCCTTTACATATTTTTAAAATAAATAAAAATCCTAAAACAGATTTTACTCAAATCTTTTAGAAATTGGGCAATGCTGAGACATTAAAATATTACTGAAAAATAACATCAAATATGAACCATTTCAATGACCTTTTTCATACATTGTGTAATGTTCCAAAAACTATAATTGATCTTATGGAATCTTATCCCCTGTACTAGCCAAGGTAAAATGTTTATCTTTTTTCAGTCAGTTATTAAATAACATGGCCCTTTGAAGCCTGTAGTTCCACTTAAACACTTCAAATACTTATAACACTCAAAACTATTTCAAAGGTGACATGTCACCTAAGAGGTATTTGAACAAAAAGTTATAAAGGGCAAAAGAAATGGGTGACTCCTCAGTTTCCACAATATAGCAACCCAATCAAATATGAACAGAAAGCACAAATAAACTGGTACATACAGTTTAACTGACACAAATTTACTAGTTCACAAATAAAATCATGCAGTAAGTTACAGCAGTATTCAAAAACTTCAGATTTACAAAATGTCCACTGATTTCAGTTCAGCGCCAGTTCCTAGTTCCCTGTAAGTTATATCTAAATACATACCACATAGATTGATGATGTCATAGCATACCACTGTTATCTTTTGTTTTTTTCAGTTAATCTCAGAATAAACTCTTAAAACATTTCATAAAAAGATTTACAGTAAATACATCTTGTTATGAATCATCTAAGTTACTGATATTTATAAAAATTCAGAAACAATGATATATATATATTCATACAACACATAATTTAGTCTCTCAACACCAGATTAAACTTATTTCAAATACATTCACAAAGATGTAATAATAGCATCAACTAAAACGTTTTTCTACAATTGGAGAAAATATTATTGTTCACCACAACTTAAATGTTAAAAGAAAGATTACTTAAGTCTGCTTGTAAAGGAATAGGTTTCTACCACAATCATTTTGCAATCTAGACATTGTAAGAGTAACACATTACCAAGAATTCAGACAAGCATTCTCTATTTAGATACTCCATGCAACCTGATACATGAAACTCCAGAGAAGAATTTTGTACAGACAAGGGTTGTTTTATAAAAATATACAAAATAAATCTCTTTTCCAATCCACACACTTTTTGTAATGTAATACAGTTTCTTTCATACATGCTTTATATAACTAAATGTATTGCTTTTATTAGCATTAAGATCATTGTTTAAAAAAAACACTCCTTTTAACAATGTAGTCCAGAAATGTAATTAAACCATTTAACTAATTATGTACACAGTGACAACACTTTTATGCACCATTCTTTCCATAGAAAATGATGACCAAAGGCCAGTATAACTGACCCAAAACTTTACAAGCATGAAGATGTTATATCTTGTTGGCAGAAGGTTAGGAGGGTGACTTAGCTTCACCAACTTGTGTACATGACCCAGGTGATGTTACTGAATTAGCTGCAGCTACAAAAGAAGATAAAGTACTATATACTAGAGAACAGGAAATTAAACTTTTTTGATTGAAATGTGGTTTTCTTTATAAATTAGTAGTAAACTGATGTGCAAGTTACAATAAAAAAAGCTTAGGCTATATAACTATTCGTCACAATGCAAACAAAACATGTTTTCTACAGCAATCAGTGGAGGGATGTTTTTTTACTTCACCCTTTAACATTGTTGAACTTCAACCATCAACCAGACATAAAATTGTTATTATATTGTCTCTAATAATAATAATGTTATTATTTCCACTGAATTCCACTATAAAAAATTTATTTCAGAACATAAAGTGTAGCAGAAAAGAGAATAAACTCCAGTGTTAGTAAGCTAAGGTTTTATGAATTTCATAATCACTAATAACCTTACAATACTCACCAGATACTAAGTTGCACATTTTCTTTACCATAACTTATACTTAAAACATGAATATATTTACAGCTTATACAAAATTTCACCAAAAATATTTACAAATTACATTCAACTCTACGACAGCCACAGTGTTCTAAAATACTTTTATTAACATTATGGTTGGTGTAGTTGTATAATGAGAGGTACGTCAATCTTAAGTTTAGTCCTGTTAAATAAATTAGACATTTATTATCTGAAGATAGTGTTTCATCGAAAGTTTCTTTTAGCTCCCAATGACTTTATGAACCTTAAAATTACTTGTGTTCTGTTATATTTTGAAAAGAAAACTGTTTACGACATTTACCCATTATACACTCAAATTAATTCTATATATCTAGCTTCCAAGTTCTAGAGACTCTTACCTGCTTCCCTCTCTTTCTTCTTAGCTCTCTTTCTTCGTCGATCAATAAGGGCTACCTCGGCTTTCAAGGCCATGTAGGTCTTCCTTAATTCTGTTAAACTTTCTTGAAGAATTGCTATTCTTTTATCAGCATCAGTGTAGTCATCTAAAAGAACATTTGGGTTATCTTAAATACATACACATCACAAAACTAACCATTACCAAAATATACCATGCAGTATAATAGCACAGATCATAAACTACTGATACAGGCATACTTACCTATAGTTATGAACAAAGGTTCAAAACTTTTTATTTTTTTTAAATTACAAAAAGACTTTTTATTGGGGGGGGGGGGGCTTTAGTATTTTTAGCACTACATAGGGTTCCTAACTTTTCATCCTGTCATTCCTCGATGTTTTGTCAAAGTGACACTTTCTGTAAGATGTCCAGCTGACTCACACACATTGTTTTTTTTGTATAAGATTATAAAATGCATGTAATTTTGAATGACAACATTATACTAATACAATAAGTTCTTTAACATGATCAACAACTGCAAATCAAATGTGAAAGGTGCATGCATTTCTTTATCATAGCACATAGATTTGAGTACTATGATGCATCATAAGTTATCCAGTTCTGGAAATGAGTTGTTTTGTGAGCCCCAAAATCATATAAAAATAAAATATAAACAAATAGATAACCTCCTCAAAATTTAAATTCCTGAACATCAGTCATCTTGGATGACCTTCCAGGTTTACCTATACAAGACCTGGAATTTCTGAATTTCCATATTAAACCTGAATGCCTGGGAATCTTACCATCACAAAAACTTGTTGAGTAAGAATATTTTGGAAATTTAAAGAAAGGCTTTAAAAAATGGGTAACTGATTTTCATTAACATAAAAATTCCCCTGAAAATTTAATTTGAAAACACTTTTTGTTTCTTGTCACATTAACACAGTGTGTATCAATCTTAAATTTTGTTTTTCTTGCGATTTCCTTTAACTCTATTGATGTTAGTTATGTTAGTTTCATTATATAAAATAATAGCAAAACTGTTTTATTAAATTTTAAAAGTAACTATAAAATGTTGTGACATGCATAGAATAGCCTATGCTGTCTTTAAATGGTTAAAAGTTATTTATTCTATTAAAACACTGTCTATACCTTAACATGAACACACATTACATAAAAATCATGATACAAGTTTCTTTAAACTACTACAGTTTTTCAAACTAGTCTAAATAAATATATTATGACTTATAACTATGTAGTGACATAACATAATCAAACATGTAAAAGGAATAACGTATAAGCTGGCCTGCCGACAGGGGGAGGGCCGAGTGGGGCAACTGCCCAGGGGCTCGCGCGAATGAAACCTGGTTATGCCATAAAGTCCGCAAAGCATCTCCAGGCTATATCTTCATTTAATGATAAAAACCATAGTTTTGGGCTTTTCTTTGCATATAGATGCTTGATACATTAAGAACAACTGAAATAATAATTTGAGTAAAAAATAATATGTATTTGTTACTTTATACATTTAATAGATGTTTGTTGTTACTTTATTAACGTTTTTATGCTTATACTTTGAGGTACAAACAG